TTAAAAAATAAAAAATAAAAAAATAAAACAGAGGTTGAGAGGAAAGAATATTGGCCTTGGTTGGAGTTAAGACCAGTGTTCCAAGCCTGATTCCACTACCCACTAGTTATATGACCCTGAATAAGTTACTCAATTTATTTAAACTTCAGTTTCTTCAATGTTATAAGGATCAAATTAAATTATGAACACCTGGCACAAGGGTACTCCGATGCCAGTTTGCTTTCTTTCCCCAGACTTCACTTTCTTTAGACCCACATATAACACATTTTTTAATATTATGTATAAAATTGTTATAATTCTCTTAACTAATTAGAAAAAAAACAACTCTGGATGATACTAATTCAATAGTTGGCTAAAATAAGAAATGGCCACTTCTTTAATAACTTCCAAATCCATAATGGTTTAGAGCTGTCATCATCAAGATTGTATTAATTCCTGTCCATTTTTATTGATGTGAGCAAAGACAGAGATTGACTTCAGAGAAATAAAAAACAAAAAGTGAGCTTTTCCAGAAAGATAATCAGTGGTGCCATATTTCTGAGTTAAAATTCAAGGAAATTCACATCTCAAAAAGGAGTTAAAGCACTATTCCAAAATTAACCATGCAGTGTTCTCTTAAGTAAATATTCCTTTGGTTCAGACAATAGATTAACAGTGTCTGTAAAACGTGAATACTATATAAATTAACCTTTTAAGGCCAGTAAGATCACCAGATCACCAGATATAAGCAAACTCTTCCAAGAGCCTACAAGGTTCTTTCTGATACTTATTAACTGAAAGTGAAAGTGATCTACTATAGATCTACAGGGTACCTTTGACCACAACAGTTCAAAGAAAATTAGAAACCTCATCTCAGTGAGGTTAAATAACACACCCATCTCTAAACAAGTTTGGCAGAAAAGAAAAATAGAACAAGTTAACTCTTACTCTTCTAAACACTCGAAGAGGACTTTTGAAGGAGACAAACGGCAGCATCACCGCAATCTTAAAACAGCCTTGATACATAGGCTACAATTAAAAGCCTTTCTTAACTCCTTTGAAGCAAAGGATCATGCAGCTTTTTACTAGCATTACATTTACACACTCAAGGAGTCCCTAGCATCTTTTGTCCCCAAAACATGACACACAAGAATAAAATGATCTGCCCAAGGTCACAGAGCAGGTAATGGCACAGTCTGACTCCCAACCACTTAGATGAGCCCCTCTTTGCTGCATACATTCATGGGATGTACTGACAGTAGCACACAATCAGATTTTCAAAAGTGGGGGAAAGGGAGTCTCCACTGAATGCTCCAGATAGTGATATCCGGTGGTATTATGTCTCTGCAGATATCGCATATTTTCTCACTGACCTTAAAAATTCAGCATACATAGTGTATTAAAAAGACCATCATCGAGAACTCAAGATAGCGAATGTGGGAAACACTTTCTCCTACCATATCAACCTCTGGGCATCCTTCTTCTCAGTGACCCATTGCTTCTCTGGATAAAGAAAGGGTCTGTCCACCCCTCACCCTGCCCAAGGCAGCAGTGTAAGAACCACAGCGGGCCTCCCAATAGCTTGGCACAGAAGACACACCATGTCCAGGGAGCCCCCAGAGCTCTGCCAGCGAGCTGTCCTTTACCGCTAGTGCCATTCCCGTCACGTCCATCCCAACTTTAGCAGCGGTGGTCAGGAAGTACACACCTTCTCCTGCAAGGCTGCGACGTCTGCCCCTAGCCAGTGGACACGCCCCTCTGAAGCGTTGCCCCTCAGAATGATATTCTCATTCCGTCCTTTGCCAGGTATCCCCTCATTAAGAGATATCGCCTCCCTCTGGACAGACGGGCATTCACCCCACAAAAAACTGCCTCTCCCTGCCTCCTGACTTGATGGACAGCTCCTTCCCCTCGCCGACCGCTCAGCCCCCACCTCCAGCCCTCAGGCATGGGTGGGGTGTAGCGTGCCTTCGCCCCACTCGTCTGGGCTTGCCGAAGGGTACCGGTTACCATCCGCCACAGCTGCCGCCTTCCTGTCCCTCCCACCGGTCGTCTCTCACCTCTCCCTCCCGTGACACACACGCGCTGCGCCGAGGACCGCCTCCACGGGCGGCCACAAGCGGGGCTAGCTCTCAGGCCCGGGGGCCCTCCGCAGCCCGCGGCCACGCCCCCGCGCTCACCCGCAGTCCGGGGCCGGGCACCAGCGGCAGTCGGGGTCCGAGGCCAGGTAGCGGCGCAGCATGAACTCCTCGTACTTGTGCATGAGCGGCGGGTCGGCCAGCAGCAGGCGGATGTCGTGCGGGTTGAGCCGCTCGCTGCACTCAGGGCAGCTGATGGGGACGCGGCTCTCGCTGATCTCCAGGCGCAGGTAGTGGCGGAGGCAGTCCCGGCACGAGCGGTGCGGGCAGCTGAGGAGGCGCGGGGCCCGCTCGGGCGGCAGCCGCACCAGGCACAGCGGGCACTCCACCTCCTCCGGGCCCGGGCCGCCGCCCTCCGCC